CATCACCATTGTAACACTCCTGTTGAGCACTGCCCTGAGTGAGCCGAGTCCAGTTCATATCATCATAATTTATGCCTATAATATTGTTTCTAATACTATTTACCATACATATACAAATTTGTCATGAAGCTGTAATCAAATCTTGGATGCAGCTTTAACATTGACACCTTTATCATTTAAGTGACACCCCAGTGCATTTACCAGTACTGTACATGTCTGCATTATTTCATCACCTTTATAGTTACACAATAGGCGTTAGTATCACTGTTCCAAAGGTCCCAAATTATCTTGATGCTCTTCTCATGGTAGGTCACCACCACTTCCCTGTCACATCCTTTCCAACTAACTCACTCATGGAGCTGAGACTTTCTTGAGAAGCCGCCAATTGTGCAGCTACTCGAGAACTTCTCAGCATTTTGTGGAACCTGAAGATTCATTTCCATGATCAGAAGAGCCCTCCATGGGTAATTATCCTGAGCCAGATCAATCCAAACCATACCATCCCATCCTATCTCTCTTAAGATCCATTTTAATATTGAAGAAAGCAGTCTTCTGGGATTTGGCACCGTGTATATGTGGTGTTGAAGACTGCTTTCTTCATAGTCACTGCCGTGAAAGCCTCAAATCTTACATTTTAATATTGCCCACTGAAATATGCCTTGGTCTTCCAAGTGGTTTCCTTCCATCTGGCTTTCCTACCAATATCTTATATATATTCCTCTTCTCCCTGTTCATGCTACATGCCCTGCCCATCTCATCCTACTTGACTTGATCATTCTGATTATACTTGGAGAAGAGTACAAGTTATGAAGCTCCTCATTATGCAGTTTTCTCCCACCTGTCATTTCATCTCTCTTCGGTCCAAATATTCTCCTCAACACCTTGTTCTCAAACACCCTCAGTCTATGTTGCTCCCTTAATGTCAGAGAAGAAAGTTCCACACCCGTACAGAACCGCAGGCAAGATTATAGTTCTGTATATATCTGTTTTTTATGTTTTTAGATAGCAGACGAGAAGACAGAAGGTTTTGAACTGAATGGTAGCAAGCATTACCCGAATTCATTAATTTCCTCCTGAATCAGTTTTTGATTTGTTATTGTTCCCAAATATCTGAACTGTCCCAGATTTTCAAAACATCTCACATATATTTATGTCATGATTTTGCCCTACATTTTGGTGATGAGACAGCAACATATACTTAGTTTTCTATGTGTTTACTTCTAGACCAACCTCCTTACTTGTGTCAGTTAAAGTTTGTGTCTTTTTCTTTATTGTCTCTCTATTACCACTCAGTAGATTATCATCGTCAGCACAGACCAACACCTCTTGTGTACCATTTAATTTCAGTCCCACCTGGTTTTCTTGGACCTTCCTAGTGGCATATTCTAAGACAAAGTTGAAAAGGAGTGGTGATACATCTCCTTGTTTTAGACCATTCTGGATAAGGAAATTATCAGACAAATGTTTACCTATACAGACTTTTGCCATA